CCTCCTTCTCCACTAACTGTATGGGGAGGATAGAAAATTACCTTAAACTAAACACCTGGCTAAAAGGGAGATGAATCCTAAATGAGGCGACTATGGCGAGAGAACAAAATGGGGTTCATGAACAATCAAACCCAATGTTAACACCAATCATGTTGTTTTTCACAAATTGCTCTCCTTCCCACAGACACAGCTCTACATGGATAACAAAATCTAAGAGGAGAAGCAGCAGTAAACATTACATCCTGGCCTTCTTGTCAAGAGTATATGTACTATTGCCTCAGTGGGGGACCAACAAAACTGCCTTCCCTTAACTTGTCAAACTTTTAAGGTCAAGACATTCACAAAACACTAAAAATACCCTCAATTTGCAGGTCCTAACGCACCAATTAAAGGTCACAGGAGGCATAATATCTCCTATCAGAGCAGGTTTCGCTATCCCTGCAAGCCAAGAGATGTTTTAATTTAAACTGCTTGTCTGAAAATTGTCAGCAGTACAGAGTGGTGTTTGTAATGTCTGCCATGGTGGAGAAAAAAAAAAAAAAGCAACTAACTATAGACTCACATACACACCAAATTTATGCCAATAAAGCTTGGGGCTGGAGCATTTGCCAGCATGCACAGATAGATCTGTGCTGCTGACCTCAGTTTTCAAGCATAATATTACCTCTAAAAGCCATAGTTTGGGGTATTTGAGGTTTTTTTGCAAACCTCCCCTCCCAAAAAAGGGAGAAATTATATAATATTGCAGTGTAAGATTCCCAAAATACAGATGAATGAGTGTCAAAAATATGTGTGAGTTGGCAACCTGCTTTCAGTCTCACGGTTTTTATAGCTGAAACCTGTTTATCTGCTTTCTGATACCCAGGCCAAGTGATAAGATAGGAACAGACTCAGTTAAGATTGTGTTTCCATTCAGGTTACCTATTGATAGAAAAGTTCAATACCTTTGCACAGCATAATTTACCTCTTCCGTTTACCATTATACTTAAGTTTACCATTAGAAAAAGAATTAAAACATACAAATAAAGCAATATGAATGCAGGGCTTTTTTTGTACTATCATCATGCTTTGCAATGATAGGGACAATGATAGGATGTTTCTTCATTGGAAGAAACAACAAATATGGAAGAGTCTACCTGCTTTCACTTGAAGAAAAAAATGAATTTTAAAACCTTTCTCCTAAAAAGACCATCTTGAGCTTCAGAACAGGTGGACAACATCCATTTTGCTTTGTATCCTGGGGCTGTTTTGTCTTACTGAGCAAAGTTGGGCAGTTAGAAGGGCTGGTCTGCTTGAATTTTCTTCAGGTGTATTTCCCTGTGCTAGGGCACATCCAGCTTCTCTCTCCTCTACCTGGCCACTCATTTTCATAAAAATTGCAGTTAACTAGACATCCTGTGTCTAGAAGTGTCCAAGGCCAGGTTGGATGGAGTTTTGTGCAACCTGGTCTAGTGGAAGGTTGCACCTGCTCACCTGCCCATAACAGGGTGACCTTTAAGATCCCTTCCAACCCAAAGCATTTTATGATTCTATGAGTCTATGAAAAGTATGATGTAATAAAAAAATCTTTGAGATGTTTGCTTTTCTTTTGGGTACAGTAAAACTGACTGAGCTTAGAACAAGTTTATGGCAGTCCAACAGAAAGACTGAGATATGCATATCCAGTATTTGTCTAAATTTTTCTTCTCATGAAGATTTACTTAAGAAATATCAAATGGACTTAAGTGATTTCTAAGTTTGAAAAAAACCAGGCAGGTCTTGCTTCAGAGGTTCAGAAAACTGTGATATCTGAAAAGAGCATCCATACAAGCATCCTTCTCTCTACCAAGCCACTGAATAAGTTGGACATTTTGGTTGGTTGTTTTTAGTAAAAAATGAAATTTAAAAATCAAAACAATGACAATGAAAAAATGAAAGCAGCATATTGTGGAACAGAAAATTTACTTCTACAGATTGTTCAAGACTGCTCTGACCAACCCTGTTTTTGAGGGGAATTTTGTGCCCAGCACATGTGCTTTTTTCTATAAATAAGAAAGCAAGAAGGGATTTTTTTAAAGGTCCTCATTTCCAGTAGTTCCATTTTAGCTGTCATCTGATCTACATCTTCTCTGCACCAACATTCTTTTTTCACCCTGGAGGCACAGAGGGGGAATGGTGGGGAACCGAATGGGCTGTAGCCCCTCTACAAGAAATATTTTTTTGCAGCTGGTAGAGGAGCAACAGTACTTGCCACTCCCCAGCGTAATCCTGGTTGCATCCATCTCAGGAAATCTTTTAATAATAGGCTTAGAATGTATAAAAGGAGATTTAGGTGGGGAAAAAAAAGGAAAGAGAAAAGCTGTGTTGCGATTAGGATAGAAAAAAATGGACTACAATATGACATTATGCCATGAGGCTTCAAAAACTCCCACACTCCAGATTTTAAGACCAGTTTAGACAAATATCTATAAGAAATTGTTTGAATAACGTTGATTGTGTTTGGGATCAGGGGATCACCTGAAGATTTTTCAAAATCTCTCCCTGCCCTTTCTAGTATTATGAGAAATGACAAGGTAAAACAATGGAACAAAGTCTCACCCAAGGACAGAGTTTAATAGTGCCTTCCACTGCCTTTCCCTTGTGCAATAAAGACAGATACGCAAGGAACACTCTCTCATCAGGCAAGGAGGAAGAAGGAACCAGGCACGAATAAGACAAAAGGCCATCATTTCATTTTCTGATGAACTTAAAATTTGCGGTGGAAGCAAACACTGCTTTTGGCACCATTAAATTGGATTATAAGATCTTCAGGGCTCCAGAGTATCTGTTCATCTCAACACCAGCTTAATCTTACCTATCACTGCCTACATGTGCAATACCAAACATTCATAACAATTATCACCACAGGAGCTGATTCTTACCATACAAAGAAAACAGTCAGACACTGGGATCCCTGAGCTTAAGTGCAGCAGAAGTTGTAAGACTACTAGAAATGAAACTCCACTGCAGAGCATACTGCAAAGAATTAAGATCAAGTCTCAGTCTGACATGGTACTGTTTCCTCAGCATTGTCCTATTCACCATCATGAGCTTTCAGTGAAATGCCAGCTCATCCTACCTGTGCTGCCCAGACCAAAGCTCACCAAAGGAGCTGCATTCTGTGACCTCTCTCCCTTTAGGCTGTGATTATTTCAGCTCAACTCCATCCACCCTGCAATGCTACTTCTTTGTTTAATTATTTTACCAAAACCTGGTTTATCACACAGATTTGCACTTAAATTAAAAGCAATAAAAACCTATTTCAAATTGTTCACCTATTGTGCTTGAATTACATGCACTTAACAAAATGCTTTGATGGAGTCCTCACTTAACATTCCTTCTGTCTCAGTGACCTTGATTTACCTAACATCTGTTTCGCCCTTATCTTACACTGAAATGTTTTAGGCAGATGTAGCTGTAAAAAGTCATTGACCTCAAAATTCAAGCCCTTAATTCAATTATTCCTATGATACCTATAGTTTGTGCATAATTAAGTTAGAAAGAAATGTGGTCACATACTGATTTTTTAACACTCCCAGCAGAAGGGAAATCTTACCAAGAGAACTCCTGCAAAAAGCCACAGTAACCTGGAGACTGGAAATTTCAATGTCAATTGACCTCCTTACCCCAAAGAAAGAAAAGTCATCTGAACCTATTATTGTGCAGAACTGAAGGGATATCCCGTGGGCCTTTGATCATTTTGCATGTCTTAATTCCTTTTTCTGGCGCTTTTGTTTCTGGTATGTGCACTAAGCATATTGAAAGGAACAATCTGTTTCTACTTAGGTCTAACTCCACACTCCCCATTCAGCACAGCTGAATGCCAATGTGTGCTCACATGGAGCATCCTCACCGGTCACCAGACAGAACTGGAAATAAGCCTCTAATGCTACAGGCACAGGCTCCAAAGTCCCAATCCCATTGTTTATTCCTTCCCATTTCATGCACCCATCACAACAGCCCAGGTACACTACAGAGCTCATGCTCTCTGGGTAGCCTTACACTTTCCATTGCAAATTTTGGTTTTCTGTAACCCTAAACAGTCTCTTTTACACTAACTGAAAAGTTAGCACAAGTAGGACAAGTTGCTGGTAACAACCATGCACCAAACTGTATACTCTGCTTTCAAGGCTGGGTTCCTGCTTCCTGAACCACAAGTGCCTCAATAAGGTTTATTGCCATGACGTAGAGTGGAACTAGGGAAGATGATCTCATGTTGCCTGTCTGCACTCAAGAGAGCTATATTTCTTCATGGCATCATACTTGGCACTCAATTGCCTCCTAAAACAGAGGTAGAACAAAGCACTTAAAAGCAGGTAATCATTCTTCCATATCTCTGGCAATGTCTCACCATCTCTTAGGGACTGAAATTGCTTTCACAAAAGTAATGAGAGTTCAGCCATTAATTCAAGTGGCAACAGTCTCAGCCTTGGCAATAGATTTTTCCCTGCCATTAATAAAGTCTCCAAGTCTTTTTAGAACTGAGTTTGTTCACAAACACATACCCAGGCAAAATGTCATGCAGATGCCCTTGGCATTGGATGCACAGCCATTAACAATTCACACAAAAAACCTACCTGCTCAGTGTGTGATTGCAGCTTTTTTTGTTTGGATTTATATAATCTTAACCTTTCCCTGAAAGCTAAAATTGGATACTTACTGATGCCAACAGCTGTAATAAGTTTAATTGCAAGTTCTGGGATTTCACACTGCATAAAGAAAGGTTCCAAAATGTAACGTCCAAATGCCAACGATATCACTGCTGTGGCAGCAGGCCTAAAGTAAAAACAACAAAGTCACTAAATCAATCTGCAATAGTACATAGATATTGTTCTTGAGGGCTCGTGCTGTAACTTCACTCTCACAGAATTGTGAAGCTTAACTTTAGTGCCTGCTTGTAACCATGCTGACATGTCCCATGGTTTCTAACTGTAACATTGCTCAGTGGTTCTGCTCTTAGCAGCTCTGTTTCTTACCAGGATGGCTCTCACAACTTCCATGTTGCAAAGCAGCCATAATCAGAAAGGAAAAGTGTTTATAGAAATCTTCATTCACTCACTTGAAGTGAACACAGCCAGAATAGGATTACATGGCAAAACCTTGAATAAAAGTCAGTGAATTTTAGTGGCCAGGTATATCTCATCTCTCAGAGACACAAGCAAATTAATTTCCATCAAGCTGAGAATTCTAGTTTACTGAAACAAGTATCCAAAACCTTCCCAAGTCTGTTATTAAATTCTGAGACAATGAAAAAAGAATGAATTATAACAGGATTTCCTAAAATGAAAACAGAATTTGTTCCTCTTGTTGACTAACAACTTCTAACACTGCAAGCAAGGGCAAAAAAACCTCGAAGCACAGAAAGCACCTACCATAAACCAGAGAAATGTGAAGAAAGGCAAGCAAGTTTTCCATTTACAAATTTGAAATGCTCATAATATTGATACAGCCTTTCTCTTTAAGACAAGCTAATTGTTTGCCAGAAGCCTTGCCACTGACACACATTAAGAGCAAATTAACCTGTGCCTCAAACCAGACACTGTCTGCATATTACAGTTCCAGTGTCCTGTTCACATTCCATTGGGGGGGACACTTTTGCCCTTCTTAAGACAACTGGTGGCATCTGTGCTTTATCCCTCACAATGTAAGGACCAAAAGGCATGTGATTCAGTCTCAAAGGATTTCTGAGTTAAACAAGAGTCCATGCAAATTTCTCGCAACAAACTAAAATATAGTTACTAAAAATGCTACAGAACAGTGTAAAAATTCTGCAGAGAAGTTGTTATTCTCCATTGAACAATAAAGGAATTTTCCACAAGAGAGTTTCACCCTGGAAACAAAACCCACTTTCTTCATGTTATGACTCAACCCAGATGTCACACACTGTGTTGGACCAAGCTGCAGAACAGCCAAGAACAGAAAAATCTTCCTCGGAAAGTTTCTGCATGGACAAGTAAGGGCTGCTGCATATGTGCCTCCTAGGCATCAGCATGTTCCCCTCACTGGCCAGCAAATGGCTTTGCAAATTTTGCCTGGATTTTCATAGACATTTACTGACTCTTCCTCAGTGTAGTATTTCTAATTTGCATAAGAATATCACCAGGGTTCCAGGTTTTAAAGACTGCAGCTGCCAAAAGTAGCTTGAAGTGCCCTAGATCAGATGAAAGATCAGATCTTTGGAGCTGTCCCAGATTTTTTCCTCAGTCCCAGCTCCACTTCCCAGAACTTGGATTTTCCTCTCCCATTTTAAAGAAAAGACTTTTTAGAGAAGCAGCCACTGCTATCCACACCACTACGTTGTTAAAAACACAGCTCCTTAATTATACCTGTAATAAATAGCTGTGTCTCTGGCATTCCCATGTCTGGGAGGAGATTTGCTGGCAGAGCAGCTATCAGTGGAGGTGGAAGTTCAAAGAATGGGGCAGTGTTCAAAAAATGGGGTGTTTAGGGACATGGTTTAGTAGTGGATTCAGCAGTACTGAGTTAATGGCTGGACTCTATGATCTTAGAGGCCTTTTCCAACCTTTACAATTCTATGCTCTTCCTTTTGACTACAATCCTAACAGGCAGGCTGGCAGCTCACAACATCTACGTGTTCTGGAGCAAATAGAAAGTACATGAGCAGCTTTCACTGAAGGGCGAGGACACAAAAATTCACCAGGTGAGGAGCAGGTCACTGCAAATACCACAGGTGAGTCAGGCACCTACCTGGCAGCATACTCTCAACCCAGCTTTTTTTTAGCCACCACCTCAGTGAAGCACTACAGAAAATGCATTCACGTGGTCATCTTCACTTGTTTCAAAACTAGTTATTTGGGGTTTTTCTAAAGGTGTGTATATATATAT